GTCACACTCTCTTGTGTTTGAGGAGGAGGATGATGATGATGTAAAGGGACCAAATTTTTCACATTTTATGAATTACTTTAAATTATATGTAAATCTGGAACAAACAAAAGCAAAAAAGCACTGGAAACATGTAATGCTCTGAAAGCATTGAAATTTATGCAATTTTCTTCTTTTTCTTTGTTTTTTTTGTTCTCTTTTCTTTTTTATCTGGTAGCTAATGTTGATTTGATCGTGTGAATATGTAATACCTCTTGTTCTTGTGGCACTGAATAAATAAAGCATTATATTTAAAAAAAATGATGATGTGAATAAAAAGCAACACTTAGTTTGAATTAGGCTATTGGCTGTCTTACCTAATTCTTTTTTCCATATTAACGTTTATTGACTTTTAACAATGCAGCGTGCAGTTCCCGTGTTTAGTTTGTACATGGCCTCGAAATATCCGCTAAATACCGATGTTTCAGCGCGAGCGGCGTTTGGATGAACGCTTTGAATTAAAAGGATTCGTCTCGTTTCACTGTCACGCGAAAACGTAATTATCTGACGAAATGTTAGTAGGCCTATAGGCCTGTCTGTCGATGATATATAAACAGGCCAGTCTGAATAAGTTCAGCTTTACGTTACTTACTGCTAGCCATAAACGCGTAACCGTATCAAGGGTATCAAGAACTATTAGGTTATGTTAAAAAAACAGAGGCGCTGAGTTTGTGCATATTTGTTTGGAGTCCATAATAAATCTTTGTGTTTCTGTAGTGAGGAAAATATGACGAAAATGTAAATAATCCCGCACTGAGTTATCAGCTATATTCAGTGTTGGGGAGTAACTAGTTAGATGTAACCCAATTACGTAATTTAATTACAAAATAAACATAACTAATTTGTTACAGTTACTGAGAATTTTTTAAAATTTGTGTAATTAAATTAGTTAGGCTATTTATGAAATGTTAATGATTACAAAGGGGATTTCATCTGAATATTTTCACACACATACAGATTTGATTGATTTCTTTCCCAAATCGCACTGACTGCTCTAAAATATGAGACACTAATAACTGTGTTTTCCAGGGCATTGTTAGTGCCAGTGGTTCCTGTCATAGCTATGCAAAGATTTGATTTCAAAAACAATATCATACCTATTAATTAAACTATGATTTTAAATCTGTATTTAAAATCAGAATGATCTGAAAGTAAAAAGACGTGCTAAAGTCTGATTTTGTGGTGGCTGTGTTTTAAAATTAAATGATTATAATCTTAAATCAAGTGAAGAAGGATTCTGTAAGTCTGGCAGTAATCAGTGTTGAGCTCTACTGTAATATTAACCCTGTCTGCTTTACATGTTTCAAAATGATTAACAGTTGAAAACATTTGCTAGAAATGTAGAAAAGTAATCAGAAAGTAATCAGTTACACTACTTTAGTAAAGTCATTGAAAAAGTTACACTACTTGTTACATTTTAAATAGGGTAACTTGTAATCTGTTACCTGTTACATTTCCAAAGTAACCTTCCCAACACTGTATATATATGAGCATATTAATTATTATCAGAAACCAGTGCATTGAATATAATGCATTTGATTTAGAGATCCATTCACAACCCATTTCTCAATCCTCACTTTTTCAAAACTCTGTGAACCCACTGGCTAATTAACACCTTCACATGCTTTTTACAAAACCGATCAACTTATTCAAAACTTAACATAATACAAAACTGAATAAGAGAGCGTTTCGCTACATTTACACAGTAATACCATATTGAAATATATTCCAAATCTTAAAAAAAATTAAATACTATATTCAAACAATTATATGTAGCTTGAACAACTGCACAGGTGTTAGTTTTTCAATTTCATTCCCATCTATACAAAAACGTAAAGCTCCGAAATAATTTTGTGCAGTAATGTAGATATGGCGTGTGTAACATTCACTCACTCTGAACAGCAGACTGCATTCTTGTTTGTGAAGACATTTTGTGTAAGAAAACATTGTGTAATGCTCCAGTTATTAGTGTTTATGGATCATAAAGTGTGTTTGCCAGTGTTATGAAGAATGAGTTGGTTTAAGACTGCATAAAGTGTTTTTGGTAGTTTTCCTGCACTTTGAACGTGAAATGTGCTGCTGTGCCAGGATGAAAGCTGGTTGTGAAGAGCTTTGATAAAAACCAGTTTGCACATTTTATGTCATCATTTGACACGGTGTGCTGAGTATTTCCTGCGGACTGCAGCGTGCCTTTATAAATGGCGCGAGTGTGCAGGCCCGCACGAGAGCACAATCACTACATTTATTTGTGTTGGAGGTTTGGCTGTGATACTGGGCTATCGCTTTCTCTCTGCCTGTCACCGCTGATGGATGAGCTTCACCGGCTCTGCATGGAAAATGCAGGAGGAGACCAAACACCAGCCTGCCTCAATAGCATGTAGAAAGCCACAGAAACCCGCCGTCCTGTTGCAGATCAGCATGGAGAAAGTAGGAAGCGTTGGCTGTGAGGACTGTAAGGCAGAGAGGGTTCGAGAGAGGACTCTTGTTATTAACCTCTGTTAGCAGGAGTCACGCTCATTATCATCTTTCAGGTGTTCAGCTCTTCTTCAGACTCACGGCACAAATCCAGCCTTTCCTGCACTGGAGGGTTTTCCTCTGATCACAGTCCTGCAGGTCAAATACAAGCTCTCAGATGGGGTGTTTTGATAATATGTGCTTGTTCGCATTTTGCACTTACTGCATTTCTAATAAACCGCAGCCTTCATCGCTGACATGGTGAGCAGATAATGATTGAACTGATTGAACAGAAGTGCTGTACATGAGTCTGTGTGCCTCCCACAATAGCAGTGTCTCCTCAAAAAATTGGATGAGAAAATAATCAATATTACTAAAATGAAACAACGCAAATATTACTAAATATGACATTAAAAATATAAAAGTCACTCGTTTTTATAAAGTAACACTGTCCAACAGCGACACCCGCAGGTAGAATGCTTGCAGAGGCTTGCCTCCCTTCGGCCCATTGACTTACAACAGAGACCCTTAGTGTGCTGTGGGTTTAGTGGGGGGTAATGGAGATTGAATGGGGGAAAATCACGTGAGAGGAGGCAATGTCTCCATCGCGATATGATTGGTTATGATTGGATGTGATTGGTTCATGTGATAAACCCCGCCTCTTGTTTTCGTGCGAGTTCTCGGCCTGGATGAAGAAAATTATGGCGTTATTGACTAAATATTAAGTAAGTAAACAACTCACCCGCTTAGATATATCACTGCTATGTGTCGCCTCAAAATAAAACTTGAAATGGCCTGAAAACGTGATGACTGTCAGTTAGTGAGCATTCAGCGTGATGAAATGAAAGATATATCTTCGTGTCTGTGACAGTGTTTACAGGGCTTTAATGACGATGACTCGAAAATAAGTTGACTATTAAAAAGAACAGCTGAACATCAGTTCACTATTAAAAAACGGAGTGTCTATTACACTAATAGGCCGCCTTGTTGGCAGAAGTGATTACACTAACTCCGCCCATCAATGTAAGGTTACTACAAAAGACGCTAGTTATTTAACAAGTTCAGTGGCGTATAGTAAAGCGCGTGCCGAAGTCATTTTTGATGCCATTCCGCCCTTTACAGAACTTTTTTTCCCTCCATTTTCAAATCTCGTATCACATCGGGTAGGTGTAGGGAGGGCTTATATTGTCCCAATACGGAGGCATCCATTTAATCATTTGAATTAAAATGATAATTTACACTCAATATGTTATTATTGCACACTGTTGTATAATGTTCTACAATACTAAGGTGCAGATAATTGCCACTATTTGAAGTTAGTATAAATAGCAGAAAATCCTGCTATTTTAACATGGTGTAAATAGAATCTAACTAAGATTAATAAATACTGTAGAAGTGTTGTTCATTCT